ATGGTTTTATTGTGTTTCCTTTCTTTTGCTTTATGGGATCTACTCATTCGCATCCTGTATGAAAAGGTAGAAAATCTGGTGTTAGTGTTTCTAGGTAAACCTTGTTGGTTTGTTCTACTCATAAATATGTCTAGATACATAGCAAAATGGATGAATCAAAAAAGTCAAAACGACATTTATTTTGAATAGGAGGTAGTATATGATAAAATTTGAGAAAATAGCTATTTTCACCCTGTTCTGAAGTCATACTAAGTTTTTCACACCAGTCAATAAAAAACTAAGTTTTTCAACCCAAAAAGTACGAAGACATATGCGCTAAATAGGCGACAGGTATGAGCATGGGCGAGAAAATTATGAGTTAAAGTATGCGACTGTTCTACGATGAATATTCGGAGATTCGATGTACGATTCGGTTAATCGCGGTCCGTCGTCCATTAAATAATTATATTTGTTAGGCGAATGAACTGCGACTATTAGTCGAAAAAATTATTTTGCGACACAACTGCGACATGCCAACGTCGCATATTATTCGCGGAATTAGTGCATAATAAGTTTTTTTCGTATTTTTTTCATCTTTCAGTTATGCGAGGCGGTATGCGAATTACCGCATATTGCTCGCATACCCCCTTTGCACTTCTACTCGAAAGTGTATTTTTTATTTATTTTTTTATTTCTTTCGTCTTTCAGTTATTTCAGTTATGCGATGGGGTATACGAATTGCCGCATATTACTCGCATACCACCTTCGCACTTCTACTCGAAAGTTTATTTTTTTATTTCTTTCATCTTTCTGTTATTTCAGTTATGCGATGGGGTATGCGAATTACCGCATATTGCTCGCATACCCCCTTCGCGCTTCTACTCGAAAGTTTATTTTTTATTTCTTTCATCTTTCATCTTTCATCGATCCAAAGTTTATTTTTAAAATTTAAATTTTTGAATGGTTTAGAAACCGCTGACAGTTGGAACGTTACGGGCGATTTCGAGGCGTCTTATCTGCTTTTCAAAACGTCTGGGCAGTAAAAGCGTGCACGCGAATCGTTTCATCCGTCTATATAAAGTGTGTAATCTTCGATCCATATCATGCCACTTCTCTTACTACCCATCCGTCCCACAGAACTCTTTGTTTATGGCCCTCCGTTTTTCCCTTTTCTTGTATATGAGAAGCAGTTCGCTGGAGATAAACTAGAGTTACACAAATTCTTTCTTTCGACCCGTGAGGCAATTCTTTAAGATTATTGTGTCTGAATTGAGAACTCCTAACCTTTCGAATTCGTCGGAGGAAAAAATTCAACGAGCGGAAATTCCGCTATCCAACTTTATTAACTTGGCCCGGCAGAAAACATATATGCCGAGACAACGACGATGAAGATCAAACCTCTGGGCCCGGGTATTGCCGTATCAACTGTGAGAAGGTTGAAGGTCGGAACAGCGCACGTCGGCGGCTGGGGCGTAACGGCCCGACCCTCTGTCAGAGGCAATGCTGGCCTCAACCTCTCTAGGTTGTGGTCGACCAGGTTTTCCTGAAAGAGGAAGGTGTTTGGTCGACGGGGATCTCTTCCCGAAACCCGTCAGAGCCCATCGGTTTAGAGCGTGGTGGTCGGGGCCGATCTCATGCTGGAGTTCTACATGGAACTCCACAAACAAGCTCCACCTACAACTCCTCTTTCTGGAGTCTGAGTGCTGTGGTAGGCTGGTAGCTCGTCGGCTCCCTCGTCNNNNTTTTTTAACTTTGTAATCGGCTGGGGTTGAAGCGACTGTAAAAGTAGTAGTGTAGGGATTTCTATTCGATCTTTTATTCTGCGAAATACAATCTTCGCATATTCCGTTGTTCCTTGATTAGTCAGCCAATTAGTCATTATTCGCCTAATTGGTGCATAATAAGAAAAAGAAA